TCCCGCTTTAATAATGAATTACTCGTAATGAACTCTCGCGCGTGTTTACGCGATGCGTTATCCTGCCCGCGAGGATGGCTCGGTTGCGTTGGCATGGGCTGATTACATCGTTCGCGTATTCCTGTTTGTTCGCCGGCATTAAGACGTCCGTTTAGCACTCATCCTGCTGCCTCCCGCACGTACGTACGGTAGCGCGTTACGCGGCATTATATTCATCAAGTATATGGTATAGTCACTGTACTTTCATTCGAGAACCACGGTGACGTGGCGAGCTGGGCGCGCGAAGAAAGGAATGCGCGCACCTGAATTCACTTCGATATTCTTGTCCGGCATCAAGATATACCTAAGCGGAGAAACAGGATAATATTTGAGAATGTGGTCCGCTCATAGGAAGCGAGTGAATACTTTTCAATAGTTCGGCTATTTAGACGCAGACTGACGTAAATGCGGCGTGATTATAAAAAATATTAGTTTTAAAACAAAAAATATGAAATCACGTCACGCCAGTTATTTCGCAAAGTCACTTGTTTCTTAACGAGGAATTGAGACGCGATCGTAATCGATGAAGTTAAAGGGGATCGTGGCATGTGGATGACTCTTCAAGGCCGCGACTCGCAATCTGCGGCGCTTTTTAAAGACGTTGAATGGCGTAACGCGACTTCGTGCGCGGAACGATTCGGAGAAACTCGAGTATTGCACGAGTATATCCTTCCTGTCCTGTCCCGAATGCATCGTCGAAGATGACCCTGTGAACTCGACGACGCGTCTTTCGTCGTACGAAAACGACATAACGTTCGCGACTCTACGAATTTCACTTCCAGACACAACGATTTGCAATACGCGATATAATTTATTTAATCTGTGCTACCTAGATCTGACATTCGAGAAGAGCGTTCGACTTTTATCGCGATCAAGTAGCGACACACGCTGCTTGAGTTTATATAAGAAGATAGATGTAGAAAGCAAAAACGTGTCAGCCAATACAGTAATCAATGTGTCACACTGATCGTATTCAGTACAGATAATGTTGTGCAAAAGTCGCATTAAATAGCATTTGTGTGTTGGGTAATAATACTTGGCCAAAAGTGAGACCATTGATTGAAAATGTCGAAATAAAATTACATGTATTATAATTTAACGTTTTTGTGATTTTGCTCATTGTTTCATAATTAAAAAATAATGTAAAATTCTTACTATCAGTTTGTAAAAGGAATTTGCCGCATCATTACTTGTCAGAGTGAATGACAAAAAAATGGCGAATTTATATAGTAAACTTTGAAACTATACACATAAGTGGAGAGAATGATTTATACCGACTGCATGCCCGGTATATAAGCATTGAAATACGTAAGAATTTCTATTGCGCAACCATTAGAAAAATAATTTATGAACGAGAGAAGAGTTTAAGCTCTCTCGATTACGGATTACTCGATGTTGCGAGGATATTGGCGAGTATTGCATTTGCCAATTGAATAATTTGATAGCATCGTTTCGCTGTCCGACGTGACAAATTAATGCAAGAAATCCTTAGATGTATCCGGAAATGAGGTAAATTACATCGATTGTTATTCAAATGAGAGCGATGCCTGCGCAAGTCTGTGTTGTTCATAACCGATCTCTTCAAATAATCAATGCACAACGGCGAATTATTCAAATTTAGCGAGAGATTGTGTAATCATAAGTCGCACAGAGTCGGAAAAACGATCGCGACACGATCGGCCAATAAGCTAGCTAGTCGACGGTGAGGAAAAATTCAAATGAAAGTTGCCACACGCAACATAACATGGCTCGTTAGCTAAAAATCTCGCGTACGAGGTGAACGGGCCGCCCTTTTTAATGCGAATCCGCAACCGAACCGATAACCGCCCCGACAATTTGCACCAACCGATATACATTTAAGCGGCGTCGATAACAATTTGTCCCGATACTGGGAGAACGAGGACGGGAACGACAGGTTTAGTGAAAGCTATCCTCTGTCCATTTCCGCGAGCATGCGCAAGTATTTTGCATAATCACCTCTAACTGCTTGCAATAATTATCACGCTTTCCTCCGCTAATGAAAACGCCATACGAATATACAACCGGCTACAAAGTTGCGTTAAAATGTCACGACGAATTGAAGATATGTCTAAGTCAACGCTGCACATCGTGGATCAGTTATGGTAGAAATATGATAAGAATGTAGAGAATATGATTTCGCGAAATCGCCGACAAAGTGCTACGGGAAATATTTCTCGAACACATGGGAGTTGGAACTCTACATTTGATAATACAATTACCATCATTGCAGTGAGTCCCAAGAGGGGTTTTCCTTTCTATGTCAAAGAAATCAACCGGGCTCAACGATATTCCCGCGCTATTCGAGACGAGCAATGGTGAAATACCAACGTGAAAGCAGAATGGCGTGGCCTAGACGAGACTGGGATTCATTGAAGTCCTCCTTTCTTCCTTTTCTCGCTAACCTCGAGTGACGCTAATTCTGCGTAAGTGATATGTACCGTCACGAAAGAGGATTCACGTATTGTATCTTCGAACCTACTGCTCGCAGAAACTTTCGCGCGAAAAACACAGACTCTTAAATTAAGTATCCCTGTACATTTTACAGGAAAAAAATTAACTTCTCTTTTAAAATGTCGTTAAAATAAAATGCTGCTAAGATTGCGACTAGCGATAAAACTTGATTGAATTGATTTTATACCTGAAGATGTTTGTCACTCACGATGATTCTTAGTAGCTTCAATAATAATGCAGTAGAACTTTTGATACTCGATTTGTTGTGAATTACAAAGTTACTTGGTCTACGTAGAACAATGACACCGTTTTAGCAAACATCACCATTTATCTTAACGTGTTCCTTCGAGAGAATTGCTCAGAACGCATGGGTGTTCACCAAGGTTGAATCGACGCTTGCATCAGCGATGTACGTCACGCTCGTACGATTATCTGTTGGTAATCGAGGAAAAACGTGGGCAGTGGAATTTTAGAAACAACACCAATCATGACGTTGCTGTTGACAGACGCAACGCGAACGTGTTTCTGCTTTCTGTACAAAGGCATGTGTCCACATAAACTACGCTTCGAGAACGATAAAGTTTTGACATTTTCCACGTGTAAATATTCTTTTCAAATTTTTTCTCATTACTATATTTACAAAGTAAATACAAAGTGTAAAATAAATTTTTAATGAAAAAAATAAGCGTTTTATTATAAAAATTATACTAATAAATGTAACGTTTAATGATCTAATTGATTTGAGGTTGATTTTCTTTCAGCGAAAACACCTCAACAATCTTTAAATATTATATAAAATTAGAGAATTAAAACCTGATTATGAACTGGCCGATGTGCCGAAATAAGTTAAACAAACGATGTAACTACGCTGAAAAAATGTGCTAATTTTTAATAAATATCTGTTTCAATAATACTAACTAGATATTTATAAGTAAATTTAAACATATAGAGTTATTTAAGAACTTTTAACTTTTTTAAATCTGATTTAATGGAATTATGTTTAAAAAAAACTGTTCAAGTTAAGAACACTTTAATACATTTAATATAAATAATTCATACTGACAAATTAAATTTTTTTCAATTAGTTTGTTTCAAAATTTTGGTTATTTTTCCAAAATGTACCTTATTATACATAATGATTTCAGATGATGTCGATAGAACTAAATAATTTTAACAGATAAATGTCTAAATTTAATGTACATTACAATGTATGCAGGATTTAAAGGGATTACTTTGATTAAATTATTGTTTTTATTTCTTAAATATTTATTTATCGTAGTAATTGATAAATTAGTACTATTCAAACAAATATTTGTTAAAATTTAATGCATTTTTTTTATCAAGTTAAAACAGCCCTGTACACGTAGAGTGAGATCGCGTAGAGTTGTTGATATTGTTTTTGAAGACGAGTTGAGCATTGAAAGAAAAACGCTTTCGCGAAACAGCGCGGTACGCTTTATCAGCAATCGGCGGACAACGGATCGAGCAAAATGCCTCGTGGGAAGTGACTCGTGTACACAAAAGGAACGGGCACGCGTTTTCGACGCGCGGAAATGTTTCTTTCCGTCGCCGACGTGACGGTCGCGATTCATGCGTTAAGATTTCCCGCGTATATAGCGCGATGTATCATTATACTTTCTACCAGACGTTGAATCGGGAAATCGAAGACGAACTTTCTAGAAAATAGATCGTAACAATTCAAGCCGGCATCGATGCTGCTCACCGAGGACGGAGTCCCGGGTTGGTGAGACTATCAACCACGAGGAACCGCCGCCGATGGGGGCGAAATCGACACACGCCTACTACACGATCTGAAATTGCATCAAATTTCGAAGACGGTTTGTGCGAAGTCGAACGTAAGAAAGCACGGAACAACTTGCTCGTCGACATGCACGAGTAAACGCTCTCTATATGGATTCTTATGGCCTTCATGGGCGGTCTCTTCGAGGAATATCGATGTCTCGAAGTAACGTGAAATAAATCGGGCGTCGTTTTCTCCACTCGTAATTTCATCCGTCGGCAATTTCTTAGTGTAATTGCGAAACTCGCATGGGTATCAATCACGCTGCGATTTATTACATAGATTTTTGTATCGCTAATTTGTGTGTGTTACGATGATGAATTTTTATAATTAAAAAAGTCTTAAAATAGTTAAGCGTAAACTAGAATTTAAAATAAATCCTGAGAAGGCACAAAGCTGCTCGCCATCTCTTTCACTAAAGAGAGGGAGATATTCTGACAGATGTTCTATCACAAGAACGTGGTATTCTTACTTTCTAACGATAATAACATTTTCGCGAAAGGAAGAGCGCGTATACACTTCATCTGCATTCGCAAACACATGTCCGGTAGCTCTCTCCGTCAAGGCGAATTATTCGTCGCGACTTTGTTCTTGCCCTTTCACTTCATCATCGTTAATAATGCGCTTTGTATAACTTTCGTTGAATATTAAAACTCAACACTTGAGGAATTTTTTCTTTCTGTTACAGCAATACGCGAGCAAGCATGCCGAGCAAAGCCATTTGGTGGAACAAATGAACATGAAATACTATTATTTCACGAGGACTCAGGGTCTATTTAGGATATGTTATCCTAAAGAGAGACCACCAACGGGTAAGAATTCCTAAACAGAGCTTTTAGTATAATAATTAAACATGCATGATTTAATAAAAGTTGTGAGAAACTTGACGTGTCATCCTGAATAGACTTAGAGACAATTTGCATTTTAGTAATTATTTCGACAAATATTATTTTTTATTTAATGAACATTTTTTTTATCAAGCATTCAATTCGCTATTAAGATCGACATCACTTTGTTCATTTTGCCACTCCAATTGGTGGTTGAGAAAAAATTTTAAGATTGCTTACAACGTATAATTATTTACATTATTATAGTACATTGTCAGCGGACAGGTACATATATAATTACGTTAAATAATGAAAATTGCAAAGAATTGGACTGGCGGTCTTATCCGCCTTTGATCAGTATTTGTAATAATCGTGTAGGATCGGCAAATCCTCCCGAGTTCCTCATTCAACGACACCCCTCACACGGCCTTTAGGAAACTTTCTATGTTATGGTCTCGTAATGTCGTAGGTTATCCGATCCCACGTAATAGGTTAACAGTTTATAATCAGTCACATAGACGCGCACAATCTTTGGAGAAAGGTACATTTTCACCCGTTTGCTCCGCCACGGTGTATCTCGCCGCGCTTTCTCATCCTAGGATTCATCATCGCGCATAACCGAGCGTTATGTTTTCGTATGAAAAATATCAACGCAATGGATCATAAAATACCAACGCTTTCTTCCTTGTTTATTGAGAAGCAATTACCTCAGAAAAAATACGAATATTAAATTGCTTTCAAGTTAAATTCTTATAAAAATCTAATACTGATTATATATAGTTTAATATACTAAAAAACTTATATTATCTATTTTAAATATTAAAAGCATTGTTGTTCAGTGTTTTTAGCACACACACTCCAAATAAGTAATTAATTATTATATTTCAGTAATAATTGGCCAGTATTAGATTTTGTGGCGAAACAATTAAAAAATTGATTTACCTTGATTGTAAAAATCAAAGGGGATTAAATTATTTTATAAATTATTTTATAAATTGTATGCAAAATCATCGAATGAACTATGATGAATAGAAATACATGTGAAGTAAAGTCGATTAAGAGCAACGCATCGAGTACATCCGCTAGCTGTTTTAATTTGTTTTACAACGAATAAAAAGTGACATGTAAACGACCATCGCGGTTTTCGAACGAAATAGTGCTTAAGTAATAACGGAAATACAGAATTCTACCTTTGAATCAACTTGCGCAAAGTTTTTACATTGGTATCGACCGCGAGAATCCTCGTCTTAAATTACTTAATGAACGATAAGACTTGCCGGGTTCGAGGACTCTGGTGGTCTTTTTTCTTTCAGAGCGCACATCGTAAGTGGACCGTTGCGATCACAGTTGTTGCGAAACAGCCGACGTGCCAATCGATCGACCGATCGCTCGCGTGTTAATGCCTTGGAAACACAAACTGCGTCCGAGCTTCGGCTGAGCAGAGAGGATAAAGTTTCCTCGAAAGACTTTGCCAGATATAAATGCAAATTAATTTTTGTAACATTTGAACAAATCTCTTTTCCTAGAATATAAAGAATAATTCTTAAAATTTCTATAAAAATTTAAACATTCTAAAGTTATCAGAAAAAGAACATGATGGAGTAGCGTCGATTACAAAGGAAAAAATGCAAATAAATTAGCATCTTAAACCCATCATTTAAAGTATTTAAACCCGGAATAAATGTACGCATGTTACGCACAAGGATGTGATCAAATCTTACTCCCCGTGCGTAACTTCGCATCGTGTATAACGCTCTATGGCTTGGAACGCCTTTCCAATTAGAAACTTTCTACAGTAATGACGCATGGTACCTATATGTCGTACAATAATGTTCAGCAAGATATCACGTATTTTTAGAATAATAAATGAAGAAACTCGGCAATGTTTGTCTTTGTAGATAATTGAACCAATTAAGAATGAGATACGTAACTGCAATGATACAATAAGCGCAGTCATACGTAATCAACGCGATGATACATAATTTGAAATTACAGAGAATGTAATTAAATCCGTAATCAAGGCAATTAACCCGATTATAATCATAATCTCGTATAATGATTCTGATATTCATCGTTTCATTCAGGAAATACGTGCAGCTTAAATGAATTTCGATACAAATCTAGGTCATAAAATATAAATTAAGATATTAAGGCTGTCCAATCAACTTGATTGATCTAACAAAAGAGTCAGTTTCCTCGATAATGGTTAAATTTAATCGTTTTTTTATCTTCTAAATTTTGTCTCTAAGCAAAGAAGAGACAATTGAACCGAAATTAAAATAAATCTACTTTAGAGAAGAATTAATTTTAATCTAAAAGTTTATATATAATTTTAGTGAATAAATATAAGAATTTAGTGAATAACATTTCAGATTCAAAATTATATTAAATTCTGTGTGCTAAAAATGGATCAGAACAATGTTGTCATTATGCACGACGAAAATTTTTTTTACATACAAATCGACTTTTACGTATTTCAATGGTCATGCAATGTTCATTCCACGACGTAATAATCTGAAATTACTATGCGAGCGTCAGCGTCGCGAGAACGTGCGTTGCATACGATCGAATTGTGCTGTAATCGCAGATCGGTTTCACTAAACGACAAAAATATCATATCGTAAATATGTAAATGGTCTTCTGTGTCTACGTGTCACGTTATGCAAGGACTGTAATGTGGAAGATGTAACGCAATAAGACCTAATTTTAGATCACACTCTAATAAAAAGAAATATACAATAATGAATGCAAAACAGCACACTTTGCTCTTCCAGAAATTGTGCAAGTCGTCTTAGATAATGTCTATTCTTAGAACCATGCGCATTCCAGGATCAGCTTTTGAAATCTCTTGTATTACGTTGAATATCCGTTTGATGAAGCCGCGAAATCGAGGTTCCGGATTAGATTTTTGAAAACGAGTGAGTGGAGTCACGTTTCGAGTTTCAAGATGGCGACCGAGGGGTTAAAAAAAAAAAGAGAAAGATGTTCGCGCGCGCGCGCGCGCGCAAGTATACTTTTCGTACAAGTCCGGTACGCGGTACAGGTGATTCCAGTTCTCCCGGAAGTTTCAGATTGCGCATTCTTTGAACGGGAAGGGAAAATGCACCGCGCGCTACGAAGTGAAAACGTACCTATGACTAGCCGCGTAGATGCGGACATACATTAGGGAGCTCATATAAAATCCATTGTCGTTCACAGTACAATAGCGAACTATCGGGAAGGGAGGGAAAGCAGTGCTTAGTGTTCAGTAAAATTCCGAGGTGAACACGAGGAAAGTGTGTCGATGTCACGTGTTACGGTCGAGATTTCTCAAGATGGGATTGATTAAAAATGAATAATAAAGTAGTCATTGAGACTAGATGCTCCAACGTGCGTTGAATAAGACTTGTACGAGTATATGTATAATGAAAATACAGAGTGGCACATAAAATGTTATACACTATTTAATTATCTCATTGAAACGATATAATTGTGTATCGGTTTTTAAACTGTGTGAGAGCAAATTCTAACTATGTTCTAACATTCACAGCTAGTATTGAAAATCTATAATTTACATTACATGCACTGTAATGTAAGTTTTTAGCACTGGCAGTGAACACATTTTCTGCATTTCGTGGAAATTCTGTTAAGTGTGAATTTTGTTAAAAATAAATGTACTATGCCGTAAAACAAATAGTATATCATTTCGTCGACCATCCTATATAAATATCAATCAACGGCCATTAAAATATATTTCTAACACGTATTTAATTATTTTATTGGGACAGCTACTGTAACGTTACTTCGCAAGAGATAAGGCTTCCTTCCAAAGCTTTACGTGCGCAAAACTTCTCCGCTAAAAATTGCAGATAACAGGTGAAATTGCTGTCCCAAAATCCCGACGGTCAGGATGTCAAGACTGCAACGATCAGTTGCTTTCTTATACATAACGACGTAGCGGTATCCTGGTAAAGTGACAAGTCGCCTCGTCTCCATTAGTTGGACAAAACATGAATGTAATCTCCCTCATTACCCCACATAACACCGACGTCTGTCCTCGAGAGAGCCTGAACTGATCTCAGATCTCGGATTAATAGTCACATTAAACGACACCAGGGTTTTAAGGTCAAACTGGACGATTTGATTCGGATAAAATGCGAGCGATCCGACAAAGCGGATGCTGAAGGCGGCGGAGACAATGCTTTCTCACTCGGGTTCACGGACGAAAATACGCTCTCGCCGCGCCGGTAAATGTATCTGTTCGGCAGGTATCGTGAGATCAGAAGAAACGGCGAGGAAAGGCGAGTGTATCGAGGCTGGATCGGTGAGAATCGATTCTATCGGTCCGCAACGGTCTACCCGGAGAGCGAAGAAATTGCCAGACGCATAAAAGGTCTCTCCGGGTTGTTCGTTCTCGTCGCTTGGTTGGAAAACAATCAAAATGATCGATGCATCACTCATGTATCGCGGTACCGTTCGCCGACCGATGTATTTGCCGGGAACGACACCTTATCGGTTTCAGCATATGCCGTCTTCTTCCGGCGACCCCGCTTCCGGTAGCTTCGATTTATTAGGGTCGCGTGATTGTAATTTTGTGACCTCTGCATCGAGAAGAAACCAAAACAAATGTACAGTTGCTAATATAGTATTAAATAAGGAATTAAAAAAATTGACTTCAAAAATCATATTTTTTCCGTATTAAATATATATACCTTTCAACATGTTTTATATTTTAGAAATATATTTTATCCCTCCCTCCCTCTCTCTCTCTCTCTCTCCCCCCGTAATTCCCTATATGTTTCACATCCAAGCTTTAAGATATCCTTTTTATTCTCGGAGACCTGCTCGATTTCCACTACGGGATATTTCATTACGTGGGAATTTTATGAATGACTTTGTATCTCGCTCTTATACACTGCGTCGTCGCGCCGGCCAGCGCCGAAAATCGAGGTCAGCATGTGCGATCGCGAATGCACACGTGAAAAATCCGAAGAAACCAGTCAACGACCGGTCTGATGGCTTGTATCTACCTGCCGGTATCGCTCGTATCACGCGACGATGCGCGATGCACGATGAAAAGTACGAGGGCTCGCCGACCGCGGTCGCTCGGCATCGCCACCGTCGCAATCGACGACTCCTCTTCCGGAATGGCGAGGAGTGTAGCGCGTGTACAGTTAGGCGCGAGTCAACGATCTTGGCATGGCGCCTTATTTCGTTTAGGCGAAACTAGATTCAAAGAGGGTCGAGGAAATGTTCGTCGCATGAATCTTAAATATTTCGAACGGTATGTTTCCCCGAGGAGGTCGACCGTGAAGCTTTTAGCTCCGGAAAAACTTACTTCCGGTCCAGCGATAACGGAATTTTGCGTGTCAAATTGATAGAATAATTCACGCTATGTAATGTATGTATAAAACTTGAATGTGAGAAAAGTGTAATATTCTTATTATAGAATTTAAATATATATTTTATTAACGAGGATATTAAAAAAGATATTAATAATTCTGAGTTCTTTTTAAAAACACAACATTTTTCGCGAAAATAAATAACGGAACGTTACTAGTTGATTGTTTGAAAAATTTGAGCGAAATCATGATAATTAAAAAAAAAAAACTGAAATTAGTTCCGTTTTTTACTTCCAGTTCTTTTCAACGGAAGACTTTCACTCAATCACAACTAAAGAACGAAACGAAAAACAATAATTAATTATGAAAGAAAAACTGAATCTATAATTGAAAAATAAAATACACAAAAAAAAGAAATATTTAGTTCGAAATTAGTGCAAAACTTTTATTTCGAATCATATCGAGCAAAATTTCGTTCGGATTTGTTTGAGAACAAATATTTTAGTGAGCTAAAATATTCCTCCTTGAATCTCATCAAAACGATTTAATAATCTGATTAATGGAAAGCTTACGGGGACTTTTTGAGACACTGTTTTCGGTTGTCAATAACTACATTCAGTAGAAAAAGTAGCTTTGCACACAACTGTACATTCTAAAATCAATCATATTAAAGAATTTCACAACCATAAAGCTTTTTCTGCTGAACGCAGTAATTGCGATTGTCGCGGTTTGTCAGGCGGGACGTTCACCAGGAAACGGAATCACGAAAGCGCGGCTGCTTTACAACTTTTTCCTATGTGCTAAGGTGGCGTTTCGTGGATTAGGATTCATTGAAGGAGTACCGTTGTAAAAGAGCCGAAAGACCAAGCGCAAGTCCCCTCCTGCAGGGTATACGGGTAAAAGCATACCGCACACTTCGCGCCCGCTGCATTCTGGGTCGCATGCTTCTCGAGGCGCACGCTCGTTGACGCTGTCAGAACTGTGGGATCACGAAACGCTGATAAATCCCAGTAGTAAATTCCCCATGGAACATGATCCCCCGAGGATATCTAATAAATGCACCTTCAAGAATCCCTCGCGCCTTCTCTGCTTGCAACCGGAGAATAAACGGATACGATGATCAGCATTGGTCGCTCATTAGATTTGCGAAAGAAGTTGGTGAAATAAAAAGACTGTAACTTCTGAGGTTGGCTAGAAAAATATCCTACGTCAAATTCCCTCATTTTAATTCCTTTTTTTTTAATATGATTTAATAACGAATCACAATAAATCACATTTCGCACTCAACGAAATGCCTCTTTAATGTGACACTTCTCAGGTGTAAAATGTCATTTTGCGGTTCACTAGGATTCCGCATTTATCTCGCTTAGAATGCACCTTGAGTCTGGATGTCGTAATCACCCATTAGATGAACGTTGACTCACGTGTCTGTGCGGTTGATGAAATGAGAACGTCGGCGATGATTAGCCAATTAAGTGTAGACTATGCACGCCACTCATCGTCAGTAAAGCATTTCTTACTTCTCATAATTGGTAAAGACAATTCCTGAACTCATAATGTTTCGAGGAGAAAATATTATTAAAGAGATATTATAATAAATTTTCCTAAAGAAAAATGAAGAGCACAAGTTTTCTTGCTGTTATAGAAGAATAAAATAAAATTTTAAGTAAATAAAAAATATTCATAACTTTACAATCCATTTTATAGTTTGTGATGTGTGTTTATATATATATACATATATAATATTTTTATATTCTATCATGATTGTTTTTTTTAATTACAGTCGAAACTTATCTGAGTCCCGTGGAGACACATTGCATGAATATTGATTATTTCATTCCCGATGAAGAAAATCAAACTAGAGGCTTCTCTGACGATGCCATGACACGATTACGTAAGTATAGCGCCATCAAATTTCTTATTTGATATACAATCAAGTTGACATATATTATAATTTGAAAAAAATTTTAGGCTTATCTGGAATTCTGGATATAAAAACTTAAAATATTAAATTCCTATGTAGTGTATTTAATTTATATATGTATAAATATTTCATACATTTATATTAAATTATATATATCACTATAATACATAAACTAAAAGGGAATATTGCAAAAATTAATCGTACGTGAGACAGTACGATTATTATTTCTTATCACTGTCTCTGCCAATGCAGATTAACTTTAATCTTAATTCAATTTACTCTTCATTGTTTTCAAGTTCTAAAGATTAGAAAAAGATGAAGAGTAAATTAAATCGAGATTGAAGTTCTTTACATTGATATAGAAACAAGCATTACAGATACAAATAATATTACAAACGCTTTAAAATTCGATCACGATTGGCTGCTAAACGCAGTTATTACTATGCGGGAATGGAAAGTATACTAATGACTTAGCAACATATGAACAATACATTTGAAGGAAAAAACATGTAGCTTCATAAAAAATATTCATAATAAATACCGATGAGAATAAGCCATTGACGGTCAAGCTAGATTTTGGAAGCTTCTAATATAATTTTCATATGAATTTATACACTACGTATGTATAGATCTCTAAAATTATTATATTCATAACAAATTTTTCATTAATATAGAAATGAAAAACGTACTTTTTTTTTTACCGCAATGCATATACAAGTGATAACTTTATTAATTTTGTTATCATTATCACAGATATGGGGAGATCCGTGATAGCTCTATTCATGGTCGCCTTTCTTGCGATATTTTCGGCATTCTGGACAGGAGTAGTGGGCTGCTGGAGAAGATCAGCAGGGAACATCACGGCTACAGCAATTTTGATGTTATTCGCCTGTCAGTATACATCTTGAGATGTTTTTTCATTCAAAATTTACCTGACATTCTCTTTTGCTTTGTTTCCGGAATTAAATTTTCGTGAACGGATAATTTTGAGTATTGCACAAGATTGTTTATGAGAAAAGTAAACATTTGGAAATATGAAAAGATGGTATTTCGAATAAAAATTCGTGAAATAAAATTTATAGACAGCGACCGTTCGAAAGGATCGAATCGTAAATTTACGAGCGTTTTTGTAAAAATTCACAAAATTTTTTATACATATAATATTACTGAAATATATATGTTTATTATATCGTGCAGGTCTTCTAAGTGCTGGTGGTATGGGCCTTTGGCATGGCGTCGAGTATTATGAAAAAGAAAAAATCGTCGGAGAGGAATATTATCAGCAATGGAGCAACGTAAGTACTCAATTATATTTTTCTCGAAACTCTAATACTAAAATATAACCGAAATGTTTTACAAAATATTAAAAGTTGTCGTTGACTGTTAAATCAATCAAAAGACCAGGAATTTATTCGTGATGTTAATATTATTAACTTAAATCGCTTCAGCTTGTAATTCATTGTAAGTCATCTGAATTATTTATTCACATACGAATATCTTAATGTCAACTGCAACTGATCAGTAAACAAAATAAGCGAAATTTTTTTTCAAAAATATTATAATTTTTTAAATGAAATCACTCACTGTCGAGCACACTTTCTTACATAATACAGAACTGGATTGTTAGTTGATCTTGTAGATCATAGTAATTATAATAAAAATATAATGGAGATACAGGGATGAATTTCGCTTATCTTGCATCAGAGAGAGATTCTTCCAGGCATTCTGATCGCACCGAGAATTTCCACGTGACCAAGGTGGCGGGTGTAACCATGTGCAGCAGAACTTGATCAAATTTTGCCCACAGGTTTTAAGGGACAATACGGCGCAATGGTACGACTGGTCGTTTTACCTCGCCTGGCTGGGGGTAGCTACGTGTCTGGGCACAATGACGCTATTCCTGATCGCAGCATCCTGCCTGAGAAGGGAGCGTGCTCGCGAGCAGGCCCAGAACGTTCAGTACATCATGCCAGGTGACACGATAACCATGAAACGGCCAAACTAACTCGTCCCGTATTTTTTCTTTTTGTTTGTTATGTACGCCCGACGCGGCACGGCACGGCACGGCACATGGGGGCAAAACTGTCTAGGTCCTGAAAGACAACTCGCTAATCTCGTACGACTGGTCGTACGTGGTCGCTTGGGTCGGCGTCGGTTGGTCGTTGGTCAGCGCGATCTTGTTTAGCGCCGCGGCGATTTGCTTGAGGGGCGAGAGAATGCGCGAGGAGGCGATGAACATGCAGTACCTCATGCCTGGTACATATTTAACACCTATTGCTTTTGCCGACTTATACGCGCACGTGGTAATATCCGACTGGCGTGCTATTTTCCCGGCGATACTCTTAGAGAAATTAATTTTAAATAGAGTGTTGAGAGTTTTTAAAAATAATTAACAATTTTTTACTTAAGAAATTTTGAATAAAAGTGATTGAGAACTTTAGATTTAATCTCTCTTATAGGTCAGATATTACATTAATAAGATATAACAAATACATATATATTTATTATCAATAAATTATAATGTATTTATCTATAAATGTGGAGAGACTATAAGATTACTTAAATCGATAATTTTAACTTCAAACTAATATCACATTATTTAAAATACATGAATAAAGCATTGAGATTGTATCTCACGTATTTTTATAATTGTAATTGAGGCTGTAATAGAGGTTAACCTTCTTAAGAAGAAATCGCTTGGGATACCACGCTTCGGATTCCGCGTGCACCGGGTGTTTTACTAACTTTAGTTTACGATCATCGGGCTTACAAGGAACACGTTCCTTGATACGAGGGTAACGATCACCTCGTCATTATACTAACTGGATTCACTTGAATGAGAAGCGTCAACACGGAAGCAAACGATGTCATTAAACGGTTTCCCTAGTCTTACTTATTTTTTGTAAATATTTAATAATGTGTCTTACGGTTTACCTCAAACGCTTCCGTATTAACGCATAATAATTATCGTTAGCACGATCAAGCATATTATTTTATAAGTACTGTTATCTATGAATTTGTAGTAACCATTATTTCAGGATTTAGCTTATCCGATTATTGAGAATATACATATTTTAGTAAACGGTTATATCCAAAGTTGAAGAGAATTTTGTGAACTAATTGAATGACAATACAGAAATACGAGATTAATATAATTTGCTTGTTTAATCATAACACAATTAAACTGAAAAACTTGATCCCAATAACGCATGTATATAAAAAGATCTCGATTCCTCTCTCTTTTTCTCTTTACATACCGTTCGAGTAATGTAATGTAATTTTACCGATGAGAGAGTCTCCGGTGATGTTATGATAACATTTTCGTTGCGAATTTGCAAATGCGAAAAACAAGACTACGCGAAACTGGTTCGATGAATATTAACTCAAAATCGCAGCAAATTGCATGGGGAGATTTTTAATTTAGTTTTTTATACACAATTTTCTCAGCTAAATTGATCAGAGCAGTGAAGCCGTGCAGAAAATTACTGATCGACCGAGTATTTAAATTTGCTTCTACTCAGTTAATATTATTTTCACGATTTTTTTTTTTTTAAACTAGATTAAAAACAAAGAAGTACCTTTGGAAAACAATAAATGCCATTTATAATCGCGCACAATTATATTTCATTAGTAATAAGTATTAATTATTGATATAATAATTTGAAAGCAAATGTGTGTGTGAGATCAATTCCGTTCTGATCGGATTTAGACAGGTCGATTATCAAATTGCACCGATATCGCGTGAATGGCCAATATTCATTCTCGCGAGACTTTTACTTGTTAGCCTCACGCTCTGTTTCCGCTACGGATCGGAGCACTGTCACGCTCTAATCCTGAAGGAAACTTTCTAGTTCTCCTCCGGATGATCGACTAGATTATAGAATACACTTGCACACCGTCGTAAAAATGCATTTCGAAATTTTTAAAAAGAAAACGCAACACTAAGTCATGTGATATGCATTTTCACTAGTATATTTTATCTTTCATTAGATAATTTGTACGGTAAAAATTTCTCCTAATAAGAGTATTTCTTAATTAACTACAATCCAAAAGATCAATTCGTTGATATTATAAGAATTTTTGTTTTATAAAATTACACAAACATACTCTTCGTAATAACAAAATTATTGTGATTTCATTATCAAGAGTGTATGAGAAATTAAAAAATTTTTATGTACTTATATTCATAAACTTTATTTAAAAAATAAACAATAAAATTTTTTCAACAACTTTTTCCTATCACTCTATGCAAAATACGATCTTATTTGGATGCAATCTCTGTAATGTAGTCTTCATCGTCCGATGTTACAAATATAATTTTAGAAAACAGCTCACGCGGAAATAAACGTTCATGTGAGATAATTGTTCCTTCCTTTGAGTAAAAGAACGGAAAAACAGTGATATCTAGAAGTAGACGCTCGAAAGCGACACACTTGCCTAATTTTCCGTTCCGTACACCCATCGACCTCTTGTTGTAAAAGAATTTCCGTGTTTGCGCATTCAGTCCCATACGTTGACTGATTGATGTCGGAATTCATGTAAAACAAAGAAACGAATGTGTTTCATTTTGTAACGCTAAAGTCTTCAAATCAGTCGCTCAGAAATTTATAGAGCAGTAAATGCATTTCATGCAAGATTAATTACTCGAAGATGCGGTGAAGATAACATTAAAATAAATGTAAAAGAGAAAATATAAAATCAAAAAATTATTTTCTCAAAAAAATAATTTTTCCTCTGGCATGAACGAAGAAACAAGCAAATTAGATTCTACATTCAATGTTAAATACATATTATATAATAATTATATCTACATATATATGACATACATATCATACACTTTGCCAAACTTTAGTTTACGAAGAGAATCAATTTAAATCATCGCTTTATTTAGTGTTATTTAAAAGTAGTAAACATTTGTTTCTCATATGCATATTTCATCTTTAGACTTTCATAAAACTAACCGTAACAGAGTTTAGATCATATGATAATTTTAAGAATTAGCTGCCTTTTTATCGTACTTTTTTCATTACCAGAAAAGTCAGGTTAAATCTAATCACCTTTTTAATTTTCCAGTGTACCCGCAGAAGCAGCAGTACGCGTATGCCGGATATCCGGCACCGGCGGCGTATCCAGGACCGTATTATCACGGTTCCCAATACGGGCCCTACAATTACTGAAGAAACTCGGCCGGTCGGCATCGATGGAAAGAAAATATCCCGAGCACACCAGTGCTTGTCGCTAACAACGAAATTTCGCATCACTTAGCAGAACGAGGACCAAAAGTATTCAACACGAAATCCGAGAGACTCGTCAAAGTCGATCCGTGATCGCGCTCCGTGATGCAAAAAATCTACCGAAGCGATCGCGTCGATTTAGAATATAAATTTAATCTCAATCAAAAATTCGTGACTTCGGATATTACGCAAAATATAAAACGATATTCCCCATAAACTGTAGCTCTTTTCTTCCCGCGATAGTCCGATCGTTTGACTCTATCCGACCAGAAGCAAAAACTCCAGGCAATACGAAAATCCGAAAGATATTCGAGAGAAGTCCAAAAAGAATCCGAAAATGAGAAATTCTTTTTGGAATGTTTTACCGCATCTTTTGGACATTCGCGTCGTTCGGGAAACTCGACTTGCGCGAGACGGTTGCTCAAAATACGCGTACTTACACTTTAGAAGCGAAATTACTTTGTATTTTTCCAGTTCGATAAGTAAGATATCGATCACCCCTCATGCATCTTTCCCTCGCGTACTTATCGCAAGGGAGAGATACGCGTTCCCATCATACATCGTTTCGGACTCCGATGATCGGTTTCACCGAGCTTTCTCGTATTCCCATTAACGAGCGTTATACGGGATGATTCATTCATCACGGTAAACGGTCCCTATAGCAAAAAGAGAACGCCTGACAGAAAATGCAGTCGGGCGATCACCGGATTTAATGGACGCTACTCGCCTCGATGAAACTCGGTAAAAACAGTCACGAGTCGTGTAATTGATTCGATCGACTATACGTTGATTGAATTTAGATCGGAGAAGCTTAGCTTGCGTTGACGGGCGCTGCGCGTTTACTATTATTTATTTAACGCGATCGAAACTCAAGTTTCTCTTTCGAGAAGAGGACTGTCGAGTCGCGCGAGCGAAGCGGAAAACGACACGAACATCTCGAACGTTCATCAACGCTCTCACATCTCCTTAGTAGTACCAAATATTAAATAAATATCCTGACTCTAAAAGCAAATATTGCGATTTTGCGAGAATATTTGTATGCATCGTGAATTTGGTTTTAACACTTTCGAGTCTAACGGAACGACAGATTTAAGTTGGAAGTAGTATCGAGATACGCAATTAGAATATATAAGTGATTTGAAGGAAAATCATAATATTTTTTATTTCCTTGTGTCACTTCATATTAATCGTACTTTCAATAAAAATCTATCGTTCCAGCCGTTGAAGTGCGTACACGATACAAGATTTGATTAAATAAATTAAAAATTCGGCTTGAAAATGTCAAAGCTACTTTCTCGGACGTGTAACGTAAAATGTAAACGTTTATGTAATATATGGTGCTACTAGGATCATTACGCGATAATAATTCGCAAAGTTTGTCTAAAACATAGCTCTTTGATAATGTTGATTTTTGTAAGGTTCATTACATCGATATTTCTATGTAAGATGTTTAGAAAGTAAAGAAAAATATTTCTATCATTTTATATCTATATATATATTTTGTAGTAAATAAACTAAATTGCTCTCTTTTTTCCTATCTTTTTCTTTCTTTCTTTATAGGTTTCATTCCATACAAAAATAGATTGCTTCACACATACACAAACACACACACACACACACACACACACAATCTCTACTTTCTCTTTTAATTTATCTCTCTCGTCGTAGTTTATTTTTTATTAGCTCCTTATAAGTGAGCAAACAGCAATATTTTGTAAAAGAGAATATAAATTAGATCATTAATTATACATATATTATAAAGATACGAAATTTTTAGTATAACTAAATTAAATATATAGTTATGTATTAATAATTGCGTGATAAAGCTAAATAAGATTTAGAAATAAAAAAAAACGTAAGTATAAGATTAAAATAAAAAGTAAAACTAGCGAAAATTTATAAGATCTTAAATAGTAGAATAAATAACAGAGTTTATACCAAATTGGCATTCATATCTAGTATCCTCCATTGTCCTTTATCTCAATTTTAATTCTCGTATTATTGTGAAGCCCGATCTACAATTGCGTGAACGTAGTTGTAGTTGTAAGAATTGACTAATCACAGGCGAATACGAGGAGAATATTCGACTGTCATTGGTCAATTCTTATAACTACAACCACTTACAACTACGTTTACGCAATTGTAGATCGGGCTTTTTATTTACCATACACATCCAAATAATTATACATTATAATCCAGTTATAAATTGCATATTTTACAAGAGGATCAAAATTTGTGTACATATTCTGTAATTAATTTTAATAAATTTGCTGTAACATAATAATAATATAATGAAAGATAATAATAATAGTTAAGGCTTATATCAAGAAATAGTATCGCAAAATATAAAGCAGTATTTAATTTTTAAAACATACCAGATCGTTAAACCCAAAATCACCTCAAAAAATCGTTAACGTTGATTTATGAATATCGTTAAAACTATATCGAGCTATACTGAAGACTATAAGCTTCTACATTGCTACAGTAGCGATCGTTACTTGACCAACAGTCGGTTTCAACTTTATTGATTGAATTACAACAATAGTTGCTGGAAATTTCCGTATGCAATCATAATGCATTTTATTTATAGATCGTATAATTTAATTCATAAGCTCTCCCTCTTCTTTATTGCATATAAGGGTGAAAACTCAATTAAAAATTTGATTCGAAAGTTGAAAGTCTATGTGTAAAAAAATTAAAATTTATAATTATGAAAAAATATGAATATTAAATATTCAAAAGTGATTGAGGAAGTGATAAAACTAAACTTTTCGAATTTAACTTTAACATTACCTAACTTGTTAGCTAAACACAATTATCTTTGTGTTTGATTATAAGTGAGATCAATATCATATAATTACAATCAGCAATTAGGCCTAAGGTACCCTGTCACTCTCATGCAATAGATATGCTTCAAGTTTAAAGCACAACTCTTTACATCCAGGATCTCAATGTTAGAAAATTGTTCGACAAAATTTTCGACGCCGTCGGCAGTGCAGCATAAACTAGCTTCTACTTCGACCGTCGAACGCAGCGCGATGTTAACCGCTGTACCGTTTCTCTCGAGTACTCTCGACGAGTGAGACCAACACTTTATCGCCAACAGACTGCGCATCCGCGAGGACATCTTCACAATATTATCCCTTGTCAAAGTGAGACAGGCATACGGCAAAGCGTCGATGTGAGAGAGGGAGAAAGAATGGAAAATACGGAGAGCTTAACCGGAGAAAAAAAGCTATGATCCTTCTTTACATAGCGTTGCGCTCTTAGTTATTCTCAGTCGACGCGTGGCTGTTACGGAGAACGGATATGTTAGCGCTATGCATCTTCTTCCTGGTTGTCATCACGTCACCGCATGCAGCCGAGCGAGATGGTTCAAGGGAAAAAATACCCTTGACACAGGAGAAAGTATGTAATGCGTAAATGAACACCGTCTTTCTTCGTTGCACTTTCATCTTCTTCGTGAAGGAAGATCTCATCATGTTTCATCGTTCACTTATCGTTCTTTTTCATTCCGTCTCTCTCCCTCTCTCTTTCTTTCTTTAATCTCCACTGTCATCAATTGTCACGTTCTACAATCGGCTGACACTACGTTTGACAAACGTCATTAAATTATTATTATTACTTAATTTTCAGTATTATCACATACCCAAGTCGCTAACAAACGAACAGATTGCCACGTTGTCCGACCTCACAAACATCACCCACATGAACGAAGTTTTGGATAACATATGTGTAGTGAGAATTGTAGGAACCACCGAACACGCGAGAGTGAAGCAGGTAAGAAGTTAACAACAAGAAGCAGCATGAGCGAAAATGTTAAAAAAAATGTTAACTCCTTCGGATTTTCTCCATATTTCGCCTGTGAAATAATACGTAAAATTTTGAATTATAAAAACGTGATAGATTTGATAGCTAAATATTTTGCTACTTATTACATTAAAAAATTAATATTGCATTTCGGTTATAAACTTATATGTTGAATAATTGTAAGTGAAAATTGAATTAAGAAATAAATATCATTTATATGATTCAGCTTATTAATAAATATCATGTAAAAAATTTTATTTTGAAAACGCATGACGACAAATGTTTACGTAAATAATGTTTCAATGTCAGAGTACCATCTATTTCAACAGCATCAGTAAAAACACATGCGTTTTTTTTTCAGTATATCAAGAGGTCGATGAAAGGTCTAGGTTGGACAGTCGAATCAAATGCATTCCAAGCTCACACGCCTATATTCGGCAAATTGAAGTTCGAAAATATAATAGCAAAATTAAATCCTAATGCAAGAAGATATCTGGTATTGGCTTGCCATTTCGATTCCAAGTATACGAGAGAGGGGGATTTTATTGGAGCCACAGACAGTGCTGTGCCATGTGCTCAACTAATTAATTTGGCAACTGTCATGAGTAAATATTTAACTAAACAAGTAAGAGAATCACATGGAACGTTACGAGATTAACAGCTTTGGAAAAATCTACATTTATATTATATTTTTTAGCATAAGGATGTTAGCTTAATGTTCATTTTCTTCGATGGGGAAGAAGCATTTCAGGAATGGGGTCCGAACGATTCTATTTATGGTGCTAAACATTTAGCTAAGGAATGGTATAATAAAAAGAATTACGATGAAGGAATTGAGTTCCGTGAATTGGATAGAATGGTACAACTATATCACATTGTTTCAATACAGAAATATCATTAGACGCATAAATATCAAAAATTTTTATTACTATCATGTAATTATTCAATATTTGTTTTTTTTACAGGACATATTGGTCCTTCTCGATTTGCTAGGCGCACCTGATCCAATATTTTACAATTATTTCAAAAATACCGAGAAATGGTACTCCTTGCTTGTCAGTATCGAACAAAAATTAGCTCGAATGAGGAAATTTGAATCGTATTCATATGGCAGACCGGAACAGAGGTATTTTCAACCGTACTCGTACGATCCGCATATCGAAGACGATCATACTCCCTTTTTGAAAAAAAGTAAATATTTGTTAATTATTTGTGAGCAAATCAATTTATAGACGTTCCTATACAGTGTATTTTCTATTTTCTAGACGTGTCCATTTTGCATATAATACCGACCCCGTTTCCGCCCTTTTGGCATAAATCTGGCGACAATCGACACAATATCGATTTGAAGACTACAGAGAATATCAATAAAATACTTAGGATATTTACCGCTTCGTATTTACATTTAACTGTCAAACAAAATTAAGAAAAGTTGCATATCTGCCGAAGAAATAATTAACAACTGTACTTCTTCTATTTGCCAAAACGAAGATACATATAAATCATATATCAAGAAAAAGGTCTAAACATAACGCTAAATTTATCTATCAGAAGAAACAAGAAATTCTAGACATTGTAATATTTAGAAAAAAAATCTTTGTGCAAGGATTAAGCTTCACACAGTTTTTTCGAATTTTTACGTCGAAATGTTTTTCGAAATGAAAAACATAGACATTCCATTTTTATGAAAAACGTAATATATGTATATGATATTATATATGTATAATTTTGTATTATATGTAATTAATTTATTTTATGGCTGCAGGCGGTACAATATTATATATATATATATATGTATGATTATAGATAACAAATTCTATATATTTTTATATAAATTATAAATTTTTTAAATTATATACTTTGTATATAAATTAAAAACATAACAAGATATGTACGTGAAAAAATGCAATATATTTTTGTTTGATAATTTCGCACGTTATCACAAATCTTCCCGCAACTTCTCAAGGCCTCTCTGTGCGACACGACACGTATTTCAAATACAATAAGATTTTTTGTTTGTTATACCAGAGATGTGTGTTTCATCTGATACTCGCAAACATCATTTATTTTTATTTAATATTTGATAAACAAAGATGAAATAATTTCAACAGCGACAAATGAAACGTGCAGCCTAGACTGCACTAGAAATTTTTTTCTCGGTTTTGCTAAAAGTTTTAAACATATTTCTAAAGTGTACGGTAGTACACTGAAAACAATATAAGAACAAAAAGTATAAAATATAATATCTATTAATATGATATTTATAATAATGAATAAATAATAATAATAATAAAATATATTATGATATCTATTATTATATTATATTATTACATTAATAGTATAATAAATTAATAATTATTAATTGATTAATAATAACAATTATAATAACTTATTTATATTTAAAACATGTAGTGAGAAGGCTCGTTAAGTTTTTCAAACTAATAATAAAAAGAGAAAGGGTATACGAGCAAACAAATTCGTTAAAACATTTAATTTTATTCTAATATATTGCGAAGAATATTACGTTAATTTTGGCGTTTCGTCCCGGCTTCCACTACTGGACTCATGCGTTTCAAGACCGACGCGGAACGAATGTTCGGCGCGCAAATTTGGAGGGATTCCGTATATTAGTTAATTATTAATAGGACATTGTTCTTACTTTGGGTAAATATTGCGAAGAATATTACTACGTCGACCCGCCATCAGAGGTCTATCGACATTCGCAAAATTCTCGCAAGTGCTGAGATACGCGTATATCTCTTTATAGTATAGAATCTCGATTTAATAACTTACACAGGCGTCTAAAGTAGGCTTCCAATACAATGGCTTACTGTGATGAGTCCAGTAGTGGAAGCCGGAACGAAACGCCAAAATTAACGTAATATTCTTCGCAATAAATTAGAATAAAATTAAATGTTTCAACGAATTTGTTTGCTCGTATACCCTTTCTCTCTTTATTATTATTTATATTTATTTTATTGACAAAAATTATAAAATTTTATCAAAACACAAAAGCATGACGTATTTGTTTCATTAATAGTCTTGCTGAATTAATAAAATTACTTTTAATTAAAAAATAATTCTGTTAATATCTATAATTTCATTTTTTTCAGTGCAACACAATTATTAAAAAATAAATAAAATTTATCACCGAGACTGCCTTCTCTTCGGTAATATTTAAGGGTCCATTTAGACACCGTAAATGTCACGCAGGAAATCGCGGAGACTCAAATGCGTGACGTCCTGTTACATGTTCAGAATGAGTAGCTTTAATAGGGACATGCGTTCCACGTGCGTTCACATCGAAACCCGCACGCGACATCCAATACGAATGTCGAAGCAACCGATTGGCTCGCTTCGTTTAACACGTACATACTCTTGCTCATTTAAAATTTGAAGCTGCTATTGGAGCATATATATTTCATTCTGAAACTCCGCGGCCCAGTCGACATTATCGTGGCAAATATCATTTTGAAAGTTTTCGTTATTTCGTCATCGAGGAAAAATAATGAAAATATGGCGGAACATTTAAAAAAAAAATGAAAATATAACAGCGACGAAGTTGTTGATTTGAAGTTTTCAAAAATCAACGAGGCACGTAATATAAATTCGAATACATAAAAATCGCGCGACAGTCATTTGCGCGCAACATTCGACGTATTTTGCGATTATATCAGTGCAGCGAAAGTGATGCAGTCTGTCGCAACATACATGCGCGAGTGACGGCACTCGCTCTCGCGGCGGCAAAAAATTTGCAAGCGTGACGAAATGAAAAAGAGCGCGGCGTCTACCTACCGAAGTGATGGGTACACATCAGATTTCCGTCGCTCGTATACATGAAATCGATATCGTCGTTAAACAGGTATCCCGCAATGAGACGCTATCGTTAAAGCGAGGTCCTACCGACGCTGAGAAGGTCGAGACGAGCGGTTTCAACGATTTCCTCCGTTGGTAATAATGGTGATGGCCGCCGGCCGGATCGAGGTCATTGTTCGTTCGGGCGCGTCCGCCGCGCGCCAGGCCGAAGCGCCGAGGGCGACCGACGGCGGCCGAGCGTGGCCGAGGAGAACTCCGGTGGGAAAAGTCGACGCCGCACGACGGCTGGCGAGAGAGAAAGAGAGAGAGAGACGCGATAGCGAGCGACGTGGAGTGATCTCGCGCGCGCACGCCTTCGTTTGCCTTCTTCCGTGCTGCGTTTCGATGGTTCTGCGTTCCGTCGCGCGTATCGGCACGTTTTCGCTCCGGCGCGCCGCGTAACCTGGGCGCCGTCCCGTCGCCGTACCTGGACCGCGATCCCGACCGTGCCGTTTCCCAAAGGAAGGTGTACCCCGGCGTGTGTTCGCGAGCAGTGATATCCACGCGAGTCTCGGCTGACACATCGCGATCTCTCGAGCGTGACGAGGACCGTCGTGTCGCAAGCGCGCTTGCGAGGGAGAAAGAAGGAGCGAGTTGAGCGGCGGTGGCGCGGGGTGGAAAACTGCCGGACGCGCGCGGGTGGATAATACCGAGAGAGAGAGACGAGGGACACTGACGTGCGCGGGCGGTGTTATATCGGAACGCGCGGTGCGCGCGTTCACCGCGAACATAGCGTCGGATCGGACTGGTAAATAACGCGACCGTCGCCGTATAGCATCGTAACCGCATCCGCGCGCGGACGTGATCCAGCGCGACGTTCATTCAAGAATGCGTTAATTACGCGCGGCCGCCGGTTAACGTGCGTGTCGGTACTTGCGTGTGACGTGCGACAGACGGTATTCTCGCGTGGTGCTAGAGAGAGAGAGAGAGAGAGAGAGAGAGACAGAAGAGCATACAACGCTGAGCTGGGCGGATCGAGATGCTCAAGTTCATCAGGGGGAAGGGCCAACAGCCCACGGCCGAGCGGCAGAAGCTGCAGAAGGACCTCTTCGCTTTTCGAAAGGTGAGCGAAAGCGAGCGAGTGAAGGAGAGCGCGAGACAGACACTCGTACCCGGCGAGAAGGTTCCTTCGCCTACACCCGGTGTGCGAAACACGTCGCGAATGGGCGCAGAAACGACGTCGGGGGCGATGTTGCCAGACCAATCTGATCAAAATGATTCGACTTGCTCGTCTGAGAGAGAAAGAGAGAGACTTCGAATGAATCACTTAGCGGGATTTTCGTGCCTCCTTATAGAAAAGCACATTGTGCTCGGAAATCCTATCGGACAGCTCCGAAAACACGTGCGCCTGTCTGAAATGCACGTCTGAGAAAACCCATTTTCAATTCCCAACTAACGAAACTTTCTGACCTTTCGATACTTTTGTTGACGTGTTTCAAACCTGAGAGCCTTACGGCGCAACATGTGTGAGAATCCTGTTCCTCCATGGAATGGTAAATCAAAAACATCTGTTAGTCGAAATACAAATAATTCTTAAATACTTCTTTCTAATTCGATAATTCGAAAATAGTTATACTCGTGCGAAGTGATTTTTACATCCCAGGGAAAAAATGAAGCTTAGTTCTTTATTAATCGAGAGAATCCGGATATTTTTATTTCTTTCTTTTAAAAAATATTGAGTAAATTTATGGATATAATGATCTCGATTAATTAATAGTTCACAATAATTTGTAAGACATCAGTAATGTACAATATGCAATTAATAACGACTTTCATGTAAAAAAAACACTCCAAGTGATTGTTTACAACAAAAAGTTAAGTTACGATGTTTGTAAAAAAACTAAGTGACTGCAAGCTATAATTAATTTACAGTTTTTACACACATGTATTTCATTCTAACTTTACAGTACTACATATACATTTCCTTACAGTTAGATATTATTACATTAAATTTTACTTGGAAGTTAAACTTAATGGCAATAACATTTCATGAAAGTTAATGGCGAATTTGATTGGATGCACTAGTGCGCACTGAGTGCACCTGAGTTTATTTGTTTTCCTTTTCTCTTCAGGAGAAGAGAAAAGGAAAAAAGATGAACTGGTGCAATCACCCTGCACTGGTGATAATAACATTTCATGAAAGTTAAGTCATTTTATAAAGCAAAACATACAGAATGATAATTGGAGAGTTATTGAAATTAAATAGCCATTATTTTTATGATGAATGAATAAAATAAAATGAAACATTGTACTGTAGAAGAAATTTATTTTTATTAATACATAGTATTTCTATCTGTAGGCAAGAAGAATATTTTATCAATATAAGAAGACAAAAAGGCTGAAAATTTGGTTGCTTGTATGACTCAGTCAGTAACATATGACATTCAGAAGGGACTGTCTCCAGGCAACCATTTCCCTGTCCCTGAAAGAAATTTACCTGGAGGTTTTCGAAGGTCTTCGATATCATTATTAGAATACCATTATTGTTAGCGTTAAAAAATGTATACATAGTTTTCCAAAGGCATTTAGATTACAAGTTCGGATGGTCGTTCATTTTAAAAACATTGAGCCGTGTAATCAGATGATTCTCAGATTAATCCTCTTTCATAAGATTTATTTGTACGAATGAAAGTACACGTTTTGTACGAATGAAAGTACATTATATTTTTTTTA